TATTTTAAGAGAGTAATAATTTCTGGACAGAGAAGCTTAGAATAACAACGTCAAGCTGCGTGCTTGAGTGACTGAAATTCTGATGTGTGCTCTCATCTAGCTTTGTGCTCTCATCGCTTCAGTCCTGGAAGAGTGAAGGGCTTCCGGTCAGGAGGGGAAACCACTTCTGCAGTATGTTACACAGCCAGGCCACATGGAAGCAAAGCACAGCTGGAGTTGAGAAGACGCCTGTGTTGCTCTGCAGCGGCTCTGATGCTCCAGAGGCGGCACACTTTGCTTCCTGGAGCCGCTGCAGAGACGTCACCTGGCACCTGGGTGGCACATACCTGGCCTGACATTTGTCTGTAGCTCTTTACAATGAGTGACTTCTAGTCAGCCGATTGGAGGAAAGGACTTCTGGGCGACCTTCATCCAGCTGTTCTGTATTTCTGCTCCTTTCCAAGTTGCTCTAAAGTTTAAAAATCAGAATATAAAAATGGAAATGACCTGAAGCACAGATGTAATAAAAATAGGTTGTGTTATGAATGTGGCTTGTGAATTCAGATTTGGGAAACTTCTATCTATAAATTAATTCATATGCTGTAATTAAAGTTTGAAATTAATCGGGTATCTGTTATACTATTTATATATCTTTAGACATTTTCTAAAGACCAAGTTCATTTTTTAAGTAAAGTGCATTCAGATGTCTTGGAATTTAATTTAATTAAGCCCAGTATGTTTTCATACTCATAATCTCAACATTTTGAAGGCTGAGGCAATAGAAGTAGAAGTTCAAGACCAGTCTGGGCAAGATATGTAGTTAATTTAAGTCTACCCTGGGCTAAAATAAAATAAAGATTTTAATTGTTGCTTCTGCATTTACCTTAATTTGGGAAATACACGTTATGAAATTGGATCAGAAAACTCTGTTATTGATCTTATAAATACATTTAAATTATTTTATCCTATTGTAAACTTAAAGAATAGTTTTTAATGGAATAGTTCAAGTGAATATCTTTAGTATTGGTGTCAGGATAAAGTATTTTATACTATATTTGAAAGATGGGCATAAGCTAATAACTAATTGGTTATCTTACATTTTTAAAAAATAATGTGTTTCTTTGTTTGAGATGGGATCTCACTCTGCATCCCAGGATAAGCACGAACTTGCCATCCTCCTGCCTTATTCTCCCAAGTTTCTGGGTACCAGGATTACAGGCATGTATCACTATGCCCAACTACTTTTTAATAATAACAATAATAACTTTACTTTTTAATGATACCATTTTCCAATGTATTGATAATTACACTTTTTTAAAAAAAAATTTTCCATGATATTTGTTGAGCTCTACATTTTTCTCTGCTCTCCTCCCTGCCTTTCTCCTCTCCCTTTCAATCCTCCCCCAAGGTCCCCATCCTCCCAATTTACTCAGGAAATCTTCTGATCATTACACTTTTTAACTTTAAATCAGGACCTTCAAATATTGGATCAGACTCTAAGAATTTGTATAAAGAAGTTCAACTTTCAGAAGTACTTTCCATTTATAGTAAAAGCACCCTCAGTGAAAGAAATGTTTTATTAATAAGCAACTTAAAAGCGTGCTGCTGGTGCATGCCTTTAATCCCAGCTCTTGGGAGGCAGAGGCAGACGGATCTCTGTGAGTTCGAGGCCAGCCTGGTGTACAGAGTGAGTTCTGGGACAGACAGCACTATTACACAGAGAAACCCTGTGAGGGGGATGGGTGAGTTAGCATTTGAAAAGAGACATTTGAGAGTATTTTAACATTTTTAAGGTTTCTTCCATGAATAAAGAAAAATTAAGTTTTTCCTCCTCCAAAACAAAATTTAATTTTGGTTACGATTACTCTTATTGTTTAACGCTTTTTCCTCCTCGCTCCTAATTTTAGCTTAAAAAGGACCTTTTTCCCTTAGAGAAGAATACTGTGAAAAATACTTATTTTCTTAAAAAGTAATGGACTCCCAAAGTTAAACTATTTTCTTTACAATGTGCACTAAAGAAATGGATAATGGTCTTTTAAGGAAAGCCTGACTGCATTCTTTACTATATAGTTACAAAGATTTTTGATAGCCTTTCTTGTCTCAGTTTCTAGAAACAAAACTGAATTTGGTTTGTTTCAGCGGTGTAGGAGAGAATGGGTAATCCCACTCTTAGAAGACGTGGGCACCCTCGATCATAGCTCAAGGCTAGCGTGGGCTCTGTGGTTAAGTGAGGCCAGTGAAGGCTCCTAAACAGTCTCTAGCAGACTCCTGCATGTGCACACACACACACAGAGGGAGGGCAGGGGGAAGAAAGAGAAAAATAATAGAGGAAATTGGGATAGGGGAAGACACTGAAGAAAAAAAAAAAAAGAAAGAATGAAGTGAGACCGAGCCTAAAAATGTGTACTCCTTAAAATGAAGGTGACTTGTTGCTGTTGTTTTTAGACTCGGGTGAACCAGGTGAGGAAGCTGACAGACTGAAGGAGGATGAAGGGTCCATCTCCCCGCTGCTGTTTGAAGACAGTCCTCCTGATTTGCAACCCGAAGGAAATCCTTCCCAGCTGAACTCTGAAGAACAAAGCAATCTTCAAATACTCCAAAATTCAGTTGTTTTTGGAACATCAGCTGAGGAAGTGGTAAAGGAAATTCGCTTCAGAATTGAACAGAAAACAACACTGACAGCCAGCGCAGGTACTTAAGGGGATATTCCCAGCCTCCAGGTTTCTTGTTGGAAAGTAGATGGTAACATTTGATTTGGCTGCTAGCTACTTCTATCTACTGAAGCTAGCTAAACCTACAGGTGAGCTGTTACTAAGCAAAAAGCCTATGGCCCAAGGCAAAAAAAAAAAATCATAAATCTAGAATAGTAATCCTTAAGTGTAAAATATATTTTAGTTGGATTTGTACAGAATTTTTGATTGGCACTTATACTAGATTATGTTGTAGGAAAGACCCTAGATATATGAAAGTTGGTGAACTCGCCCAAAATCCCACCAAAAAAAGATCAATTTGCAATGTAGCAACTTAAGAACATCTGGTAAAAAACCAAAGCCAACAAAGTCCCCCTGCTTTACATATATTATCAACCCCTAAGAGCATCACAGGGCCTTAGCACAGGGAACTAATAATGGTTACAATCAACTTCTCACAATGTCTGTGATAAACAAATTATCACATTATAAAAAATATTATCTTGTAAAGTCATGTGTGTTGGGATTAGGGTAATGTACTCTATTCCAAACGGTAAGCATGCACAATCAGCTTTAAGGAAATATCTATAAAGACCAAAATGAACTATTAACAAATACATTTATATGTTACCTACTATAAGTTGTCTTAAGACTCCTAGAAATTGTAAATCATAGTGTGTGGTGATTTCTTTGTAACAATAAAGATTAAGTTTTTATTGTTGTTGCTTTTAATGTATTGTAAGTCAGAAAATTTATATTTTTAATGTGAAAGTTTACATTCAGAAAAACTTCTCGGAAAATAAGCATCCATCATAGCTATATTCTGGATCTTTTCTGAGAAACAACCCTTACTCCTAGTGCAGTTGTAAGCAAGGCGCTGACACTTGGTGTTACTCAGTTCAGAAATTACGTTTGGGTGTGAAAATGTGGAGGCTCAAATGGTCCTCATTCCCCTGCCACAGCTAGCCATCCCCTTTCCCCAAAGGCACAGAGAGCCCTGGGGACATTGCCAGTAGCCAAATGTCATTTCAGATTATTTGCATTTAACTTTCATTTTCTTATCTCATAGTTAACTTATACATAGCAACTTCTTTGAATGATTGATTCCTCTTCTTTTGAAGGTATTGCCCCCAACACAATGCTAGCGAAAGTGTGCAGTGATAAAAATAAGCCAAATGGACAATACCAAATTCTCCCCAGCAGAAAAGCAGTGATGGACTTCATCAAGGACCTGCCCATTAGGAAGGTGGGATTTTATATGAAATCATCATTTGTGTACATACTCTGAATTTGAGAGAGGCGCCAGACACATAATAAATATTCTTTGCTGAATAGTCATAAAATAATAGATGGCAGGTAAGACCTTTGCTGTACTCAGAACCCTGGAAGTCATGTTTAAGGAAATCGGCTGCAGGAGTGCTTAAAGTAATTAAGAGATGGTGGATTTGTTAGTCCATACCTGCCAAGGGCAGAAGACGCAAGAGGAGCACGTGGAGGAGGGCTTTCAGCTGCAGCTTAGTGCTGCCATGGCTCTCCGGTCAGGCAGCTAGTAGATGAGTAGGTGTGTACCTCAAAGGGATAGAGAATTTTGTTTCTGAGAAAAATAAACCAAAGTATTTCACCATCTTAAGGTGATAGAATTTTCCCACAAGGATGCAGAAATGACATATTTTGTTATTTATAGCTTCTGGATTTTTGTGCTGTATGTTCTCTTTATCTTTTTCAACAATTGTTTCCCTATACTATATGACAGTCTAGAGCCTGCTCAAGATAATAGCCAGGATTGAGTTTGTATAACGTATTTCTCAATGTTCAAGGAAAAGGCTATAGCAAAGGCCACAGTGTTGTTGATTCCTATAGGGGTACTATATATACAGTAGTTTTTTCTAAGGTTTGAATAAGTGTTCTATTTGTTTTAAGTTCTAGGTGCAAATAATGGGTAAGTTCAAATATCGGTGAGATTTTAAAATCTCATTTAAAAGTTCTTAATTATAAAATAATTAAAATAATTTAAAAATCCTTAGTTATAAAAAACATAAGATATAGAGTACACTATAAATAATAAAATATGTCATCTCTGGAACCTTATGGGAAAGTTTATTATTTTAAAAATGGTAAAGTACTTTGGTTTAATTTGTCAAAAACAAAATTCTAAATCCCATCGGAGTGCAGATATTAGTATATTAAAGAATCACAAATATTGTGCTAAAAAGTTTTTGTTTGTTTGCTCTACCATTTCCAAAATTTGTATGCTCACAGAATTCTTTTTTAGTTGCCTTTAAAAACTCTATTGAATTAAGCTGTGTGGCCAAAACATAATAAGTCTTCTTGCATGACATGTAAAAATAATATTATTCATACCTTTTGTTAGCTACAGAAGATTATAATCTTCAACTGTTACTCGTGGCAGACAGTTTATTTAGCATGTTCAAGGCTCTGCATTCAAGCTTCAACACCAACATTCTCCTGCAAACACGCACACACTTATGATCTCATTTTAAAATCCTAAATTATAAATGTTGGTCCATCTGTGACTATACCACCCTGAACACACCCAGATTCATCTAAGTGTGGATTCTCTTGTAGGTTTCTGGAATAGGAAAAGTGACAGAGAAAATGTTAATGGCCCTGGGAATTGTTACTTGCACGGAACTCTACCAGCAGAGAGCATTGCTTTCTCTCCTTTTCTCCGAGACATCCTGGCATTATTTCCTTCACATCGCCCTGGGTCTAGGGTCAACAGACCTGGCAAGGTATCGGCTTTTTATCATTCTCATTATCATTTATCGGTGTCAGTTTGAACCTTTCAAATGTTTTTAAATTCATCTTGACTGATTTAACTTAGGTTCTATCTTGGTTAAAGTTGTCAGTTTGGCTATGGAAAAGGGGGGATAATGACTCACTTCTAGGTGTTGGCTTCAGCGGTGAGGAATATGGGAGAAAGGAATGGTGGTTACTTCCATCCCCTGCCTGTCATGTTCTGTTTTCAGATTGTAAAAGGAAGGTTGGTGGTCAGGTTGTTGAGGAAAGAGAGGTAGCTTATGTTTCCCAGTTTATTGTTTAGCCAGATTCTGATGTGTGAATGGATACTGCGTACTTATCTTCCATTGGACTCTTGTAAGCGCTAGAGGCATTACTCGTGGGTTGGACGAAGTTCTGCCTTCATGAAGTATACACCTTAGTATGAGAAATAGAAAATCCCAAAGAAACAATGCAGAGAGTGAGGTGGAGTGAGGGCTAAAGAGTGACATCAGAGATTTCTGCAGGGTTGACAGTCGTCCCGAGGTGAAGGCTGGAAGGAGCTGACCTCGCAAAGCCCTGGGAGAAGGTGGGACACCTAAACAAAAGTTCTGTGTTTTCTTCTGCCAACTTTTCGTCTGGGTTTTGAACTGTTGTGGATGGATAGAGAGAAGCATGAAAATCCTCAAAGTCAACCCTAGGCAGTGTTTTTTATCATGATCCGTCCTGATAGCAAACCGTCAAAAGACCGTAGGATGGGTTGGGGGGGCGGGGGGAGCGCAGTGAGACAGGCATACAACACCATTGTGCCTGGCTCTCTTTAGATTCTGTGCTTAAATTAAAGAACAGCAATAAAATCAAGAAGATGTGGTTAAAATTCATTACAGAAAAAACAGCAAAGTCTGATGATGAGTTAGAGGCTAGCCGAGGCTAAAATCATAATGAGACCCCATTTGTCGGAGAGGGGGCGGGGCATGCAAAGCTGGCGGAGTTCTTCTCTGCTCATCCTTTGTTCAAACTGCAATCCTGCAGTTTGAAGACTGATCTTGCTTGTATATAATGGAAGTGAAATCACAATTGTAAGTTGTAAGTGATCTAGATTGCTTATTAATGCAAATATTGTCATATTTTCAGTTTGATATAGTGCAGCAGGTGTTAGTCTGTAGTATAGAGAGGCCGGTTTTAGGTGAAAGATCAACAACTCACTTGTGAAGTACTGTAGCTGACCTTCTTTCCCTCAGCCTGTGTTCTCTAGTACCCTGTGCTCCTTCGGTTTGTAGTACTTCTCCCTTCTGAGCATACCGCCCTTTGTTGTTGTTGTTTGTTTAGTTGGTTTTTGTTTGTTTGTTGAGTTTGGGGGGCTTGGTTCTTGTGATTGAACCTCACATAGGTATGTGCTCTGCCACTGAACAACATCCTCTCTCTCCTATTTTGAAATAGGGTCTCACCTAAGTTAACCAGGTGACTTTGAACTTACCTAATAGTCCAGGCTGGCCTTAAACTTATAGGCCTCTCGCCTCAGTATCCCTAATAGCTGGAATTATTGCTATAGGATTGTGTTGTCGGGCCTACCTTCTTTCGCTCTGGTTTTGTTTTGTTTTTCAGTATTGGGACTCAACCCCAAGGCCTTGGTCATGTGAGACAAGGTCTGTGCCTACATTCTCGAGCAACTCTTAGGCATATTACATCCATTAAATATTTGGAAAATGAATAAAGCACGTGTTACTTCAGTTTCTTTAGTTCAGTTGTCCCTATTAGAGTAGCTAGAGTCCAGTCAAAGTAGGTGGTTTAGATCCTCAGTCATCATCCTATACCACATTCTGACTGAGATGAAATAACGAACGGTATGTGGGGGAGGAGTTGGTGTAGAAGCCCCCAAACGAAACAGCATTGAATTTCTGAGATGTAGATGGAGCCTGTGACCAGGAATTGTTACGTTGCTGCCTCCTGTTGATTTTCATACGTTTAATATTCAGACTTTTAATAGAAGCAGGTTAGATACTATTTCCAAATATTTTTCTACCATAGATATATAAGTGATCCATAACACATGAAATCAAAGTATCTTATCTATTTATGTCTTAGAGACAGTGTCACTTTTAGATTTAAAAGAAAGCATCCATGGTTTTTGTAAGATGAAGAATTTTGAATGAAGTATTTAAACAGAATGTTAGGGGCCTGTAGAAGTGGCTCGTCAATTAAAAGCACTGGCTACTGTTCCAGAGGACCCAGTTTTGATTCCGAACACCATTTTCAGAGGCATTCTCTTTTCTTTTCTTTGTTTTGTTTTGTTTTTGGGTTTTTTGTTTTGTTTTGGTTTTGGTTTTTGGTTTTTTTGTTTGTTTGTTTGTTTTTTTGAGACAGGGTTTCTCTGGAGCCTGTCCTGAAACTAGCTCTAGTAGACCAGGCTGGCCTCACAGAGATCGCCTCTCGAGTGCTGGGATTAAAGGCATGCACCACCACTGCCCAGCTCTCTTCTGAATTCTGTGAGCACTGAACATACATGGTGCACAGAAAGACATAACAGCAAAACACTCATACACATAAAATTAATTAATTAATTAATCAAAAGGAATATATTAAATTCTCTTATTGACCAAAAGTGATGTGGGTGACCTTCTGTGTAAGTGTTGCTATTATTGTTTGATGAATAAAGCTGTTTTGGCCAATGGCTTAGCAGAGTAAAGTCAGGTAGGAAATCTGTACAGAGATATAGAGAGAGAGTAGGCAGAGTCAAGGAGATGCCATGTAGCTGCCAAAGGACACAGAAGCCAGAACCTTAGCCACAGTGATACAAATATTAATAGAAATGTATTGATTTAAGATATAAGAGCTAGCCAGGCAATGGTGGCGCATGCCTTTAATCCCAGCACTCGGGAGGCAGAGGCAGGCGGATCTTTGTGAGTTTGAGACCAGCCTGGTCTACAGAGCTAGTTCCAGGACAGGCTCCAAAGCTACAGAGAAACCCTGTCTCGGAAAAAAAAAAAAAAAACAGACAAACAAAAAAAAAGATATAAGAGCTAGCTAGGGATATGCCTGAGTTGTTGGCCAAACAGTGTTGTGATCAATATAGTTTTGTGTGATTATTCGGGTCTGAGTGGCCGGGAAATGAAAGCACAGTCTCCATTTACATAATGGTGCCCAATGTGGGGCTCAAACCCACAACTCTGAGATTAAGAGTCTCATGCTCTACCAACTGAGCTAGAACTCAATTTTCTTTGAGAAATAAATACTTTTTTTCTCATTTCAGAGATGGAGAAAGAAAAAGCATGAGCGTTGAAAGGTAATGCTTTTTTATGTTAAATAAAAATAAAGTTAATGATCCATTATTCAGTGTATATTAAACTGTTTCAAGTTCATTTTTAGTAAAATATCACTACAGTAAAAAAATGTTTCATAGTTTGGGCAGCTTATACCCGAAAGTAAACACCTATGCTCAACACTTTATCTTTGGTTGCTGTGCTCACAGTAGAACAGCTTAGTTGACATTTATACTTTTAATACAGATGTTACTCCTGTTCAGGGAAAACTAGGCATTTTAGGATTTCTAATCTTCTTTATGAGAACAATTAAATGTTTATCTGAGAATGATAAAACATTACAGTGGAAGTTCTAAGAACTTCAGGTATTGGCCAAATGAACAGAGGTTTCAAGTTACATGTTGAGCATCTGTGATATGAATTTCGGAAATCTGACATGCTTCAAAGCCAAGACTTCCCGAGTGCTGAGATGCTGTCGCACATGGAAAACTTTGCCCCTCGTTTTATGTGATGGTTTTCCATCAAAACACAGATTATTAGAACACTGTGTATTCTTCAACCTTCAAACTCTATGTATAAGGTGTATACGAAACAAATGAATTTGTTTTAAAACCTGACTCCCATCTGAGGATATCTCACTGTGTACAGACAGATACTGCATGTTAACTTGTCTTAAAAAGCAACCCAAATCTAAATCTTCCTTTCTCAGTGTTTCAGATAAAGAGTCGAGCCTGACGTAATATTGGTAAAGGAGAAGTTAGAGAGTGTCTAGTTTTGTGGGCCTAGCATCTTGTTTGGAGCCACATGAAATCCTAATGGCACTTTGTTTATAGGGAAATGTGTCCATTTTAAAAGTCCCTCAATTATTTCTTCAAAACATCAGAACTATTGAGACATTTAAGTGTCACTGACTGTTTCTTTTCTTTTTGAAAACTCCCTTAGATTTTCAAAAATGCACTAGAGTATCAAATTTGGTTCGGAACTAGGGGAGGAAAATCCTGGTTCACAATCACATATAAAGTGTTAGTTTCTTTGCTATGTAAAGAATTCATAATAAGAAAGTACCAATATGCCAGTTAAAAAATGAGTGAAAACTGAGCATGGTGGTATGTATATACCTTTAATCCTAGTTTTAGAGAGGAAGAGACAAGACCGATCCCGTGAATTCAAGGGCAGCCTGGTCTATATAGCAAGTTCTAGCCCAACCAGGGCTACAAAGTAAGATCTTGTCTTAAGAAAAGAGAAAGCATAAAATTGTGGGTTTTGCCAATCAGTGTACCTATCTAAATGTTTTTGATCACTATATATAATGTAGATATTTTTACTTAATTATGTATTAATTGATATGAAAACTTTAATTTGTACTGAGAAAAATATGTTAGGTTATTTGAATGTACTCTATTGTTATCAAATTATCCCTCTGTAGTTTACACTGTGCACCCAAATCCTTCTTGTCTCTCTAGGACGTTCAGTGAGATCTTTAAAACAGAAGAACAGTACAGCTTATGCCAAGAGCTGTGCACTGAGCTCGCTCGTGATCTCCAGAAGGAAGGACTGAAGGTGCTGGGTTTTTATGGGATGATCTCAATTTTTAGCTTTTCTCATTATAGTACTCTAAGTCAAGAGACCACGCATTTGTTGAAGTGGGTTACAAATAAAATAGAATATTCCTATTCCCAACAATCAGAAACGAAGTCGAGTCTGACCTGTGTGTGAGGTCTGTGGTGAGGTCACTCTGTAAAGGACACCTTGTGGCACTGGGGTGGTTCCAGGTTGATAAGGCCAGCTCTGTGCCCTTAGTGCCCTGTCTGAGTTAGGTGCCAGGTCAGACTTCGTTTCCAGTCATCCTTGGAGGCTTTGCTTACAGGACAGTGACCTTCTAGAGCAGGCATTGTGTTTCAGGGCTCTGGTCCTGGTTAACACATTGAGACCGAAGCCTGGAGTGCCCTGAACTGTCTTCCTTCAGAACAGTCCACATTTAGTGTTTTCTCAGTCCTCTCAAACCAGGGCTAGTTATTAAAAAGTGTAATACAAAAGTATTAAAAAGTTATTGCAAAAAGTCGAGTATTTGAGGAGAGTTTATACTTCTAGACCTTCTCTACTTGAGTGTAAAATAGTTCTTTTGGAGAAGTTTTTGAGATACACTTTTATTTTTAGAGTAATTTTAGACTTACAGGACTGTTTCTAATAACAGTGATTTCCATTGTAGCTCTCACCCATTTCGCTCAATTGTTAACATTTGATAGATTTTTGTCACACTAGAAAAGTGACATTAGTACTGCTGTTAACCAAGTTCAAACTGAGTCTGGATCGCTCTTGTCTTTCTATGGATTCTCTGCAGAGAACCACGGGTGGCTGGTGTCCTGTCACCCTAGTTTGGTCTGAGTTTGTTGCCTTTCCGCTTCTTTATAGAACCCAGTCTTGAGAACCTTATAGCCTACAGAATGCCACTGTGTTTGCTTGTCCTGTGGTGTAGGCCGTAGTGTGGAAAGAATACCACAAAGGTGAGGTGGCCTTCCCATCATTTCCTGCTGCCGTCATCACCTGGTTAAGGGAGTGTGTGAGAGGCTTCTCCAGCCTGAAGTTGGTGGTTCCGAAGTGAGTCAGGAAGTGAGTCAGAAAGCTGAACTGGCCTCAAGTGGAACAGCTGCCCATTGCTCTAACCCCCAGGAATTACTAACTTCTCCTCAGTCCTCCCCAACTGGAGCCTCATGTCCTTAAGACAACAGCTGTAAAGATGATGCCTAGAAACTTCTAGCGCAGCACTCTGGCATGTGACAGTCTTGCTGTAAGTTTGAGCCATTTATTCCCTGGCCTTCAGTGCTGAATTAACCCGAGGGAGCTGGACAGTAGATGGAAAGGTGGCAGTTCACTTTGCTCTTCATATAAAAGTATTTCTTAACTGGCTGAGGAAGGAACTACTGATTATTCACTAAGTGATATTTTTCAGACACGGATCTTAACTATGAGAGTTTACAGGACCATGTTTTATATTTATAGCAGCTGATTACAGTGCATATTCCTACGTACAGACAGCCTTCCCAAACATTTCTAACCTGCAGTTAGCTGATCCTCAGATCTGAAGCCTGCCCTGGTAACGTGCTGTTTGTCTTGTAGGGGAGAACTGTTACCGTTAAGCTGAAGAACGTGAATTTTGAAGTAAAAACTCGCGCGTCTACAGTTCAATCCACCCTTTCTACTGCAGAAGAAATATTTGCCGTTGCTAAGGAACTGCTAAGGACAGAAATTAACGCGGCTTCTCCACATCCCCTGAGGTTAAGGTTGATGGGTAGGCCTCTCTCTCCCCGCCTCCTCTTTCTTGTTTTCCCTTATATGTTTAATGGCCCCTCCCTAAAAAATAAAGTCAACTTGGGAGATCTTTTCCCCTCTGTTTAAGAACTTCCTACTCTGCTGTTGTACATTGTAATTCCTAGAGCCAGATGCCTGGTCAGAATGTGATTTTAATTCTGTCTGGACCTATGGGAGTTGTTCTCATCCTTTTTTCTGAAGTCCTTGAGGCAAGGTGTTTCCAAATGCAAAACTTAACAGACTTGGGAAACAAATGCAGGGCGTTTAAATTATCCTCTGTAATGCTCTGTTGGGGCTCCAGTGCACCGTGACATGAAGAAACATGGGGGTATTTCTGTCACGAAACAACGAAGACAACTTGTTCTTTAGATTGTGAGGGTACTAGATAACATCATGTCAGTTTAGTCAACTAAGAGACTTCAGCTACAATTTCAGAAATTTTGGATTTCAGAATTACAGTCCCAGATTGTGACACTGCCCGTCATTACCTGTGGGACACAAACTAGAAAGCCGTGCTTCCACGTGACTGTGAGGTTGCTAAGAGAAAACATTAATCTTGCTTTCACACTTGGAGACCACGCACAGTGAAACCACTGAAGGAAGTATATTAAAAAGAACCAAATAGCCGGATAGTGGTGGCGTACGCCTTTAATCCCAGCACTCAGGAGGCAGAGACAAGCGGATCTCTGTGAGTTTGAGGCCAGCCTGGTCTACAGAATGAGTTCCAGGACAGCCAATGTGACAAAAAACCCTGTCTCGAAAAACCAAAACTAATAAATAGTAATAATAATTGTAAGTAAATAAAATAAGAACAGCCAAAGTATGTACAGAAACTTTATTCATAATTGCAAAACCTAGAAGCAAGCAAGGCTGTCCAGACAATGGGATGATGTTCAGTTTATAAATAAGCTACAAAAGGACAAGGAACAGACTTAAGTAAATATTGCTAAGTGAAAGAAGCAAATATTGTATGATTCCAGCTATTTGGCATCTTGAGAAAGGCAAAATCTTGGAGCCAGTGAGAAGACAATATTGCCCAGTGAGACAGATGAAGAGAGAAAGCAAAGGACTTTGAGGCTAGTGAAACAAGTCTGAATCTAATGGTGAATTCACGTCTTTATAGCTGCATCTTAACTCATAGCATAAGAGTGGATGCTGAGGGAAACCATAGACTGGGTGAAGGGCCGCGTCAGTGTACGTGTGTAGTACCGGAAGCTGTGTGTGAATGACAGCAGGGGGCATATGGGAATTCTCTGTTCAATTGTTGTAAAAATGAAGGACTCCTTAGAAAGTGAAGTCTATTGAAAAAAAAAAATCAGAGCTGAAGTCTCTGTAGCTGACTCCAATTAGCTACTGCCTACTTAATGGCACCCATGTGAAACATTACTGCAAGTTCTATATAATCACACCAACTCCAATAGATTAACGTTTACTGATACCCAGTTTTATAAAGCAAAGTGAGTTTTTCCTAATGTAAGCTTCAAAAAAGTATCCTTTAATTTGGAAAATGTTGGTCTGAGAATGTGGCTAAGTGGTAAATTATATGTATAACATGCCAAAGATTTATATATGGGTCTAAACCTTAGCATTTAAAAAAAGAGTAGTATGTGTATGAGTGTGTACATCTCCAGAGGTACTTACTTCTCTAGTTACCTTTTGCATATGTGTCATAATAGTACTGTTAAATGTTTTGTTCCCTTTGTATGGGTGTGGGTACGTTTATACAATTGGAAAGTGACGGTTTGGGTTTCATTTAGGTGTGCGGATGTCGACTTTTTCCACTGAAGATGACAAGAAGCACCAACAAAGGAGCATCATTGGCTTCTTACAAGCTGGACACCAGGCTTTGTCATCTCCTGGGTGTGTTCTAGACAAAACCGACAAAACTGAGTTTGTAAAGCCTTTGGAAATGCCTCATAAGAAGAGTTTTTTTGATAAAAAGCGATCAGAAAGGATCTTGAGCCATCAAGATGCACCCAGCTGTGAAATTGTGGATCAGCAAGCTGTACAGACCTCACAACCATTCCAGGCTTTAAAGAAGACGAGTGAGAGTTTGGAAACATCAAAGAATTCCAATAACTGTCAGACATTTACGTGTCCAGTTTGCTTTAGGGAGCAAGAAGGTATCAGTCTGGAAGCCTTTAACGAACATGTAGATGCGTGTCTGGATGAGCCATCGACCAGTGAGAACTCTGATTCCCGTGCTTCCTCGGCAGCTATTGGTCAGAAGGAAGATGCACACCATTCTATTCCACTGTGTGAGAAGCGGGATGATGAAGATGCCGAGATCACTTCAGCGGATGGTGTCGATCTGGCAGAAACTGAAGACAACTCATTGAAAGCCACAAGTATGGACACTTTAGGGAATAATCACAGCAGAGCGGAATGTTCTGATATTCCAAACCAGTCTTGTCCTGTTTCATTGGCGAATGAAACTGTCAGAATATTAAGTAGGCAAGAGTCCATCCAGCCCTGTACAGATGAGGTGGTAACAGGACGAGCTCTAGTTTGTCCTGTTTGTAACCTAGAACAGAAGACTTCCGATCTTACCCTCTTCAATGTGCACGTGGATATTTGCTTAAATAAAGGCATTATCCAAGAATTGAAAAACAATGAAGTTAATTCAGCTAACCAACCCAAAGGGAGCTCAGGAAGAACTGGTAAGCATACGGTCATGAGGAGGAACGCAGCACGGGTTGGAGACCGACCAGCAGTCCTTGCTAGTCCTGCATAGGACCCGGGATTGGTCCCCAGAACCCACATGGTGCCTCACAGCCATCTGTAACTCCAGTTCCAGGGGATTCAGTGCCATCTTTTGGCCTCAACAGGCACATATACAGTACACAGACATACATGTAGGCAAAATGCCAAGACACTTAAAATTAAATTAAAAAAAATAAGAGGAATGTGATTTTCTAGGGATATGTCTTCCTAAGCTTACTGAAAGTGTTAAATTTGAAATACAGACTATTAAAGGGGTGGCTTGTGTTTGCTCTCATTGAGGAAAATAATAGTTCTGCCTTACCATGGCTAGAAATAACTCAGACTGAGCTTTTGAATTGAGGGGAAACTCAAGTTTAGTTTTGATTTAATATAGAATGAAGTTAAAAGTGAAAGGATCTGAGTGATCTAAACACAACAGAAATTCCCTGGGGAGCAACCGCTGGTGCGCAGTGACAGACCAGCTGTGCTCAGAGAGCCAGGAAGCCTGGCATTTGTCTGTTGTGCTGATGTAGCAGGGTAATGCCAGGAGAACTAGTAAAGTTTAAGGAATCGATACTATAAGATTAACTTTGTGAGACTGGCCATATGGCTCGAGGGTGTAGGTGCTCGATAACAAACCTTTCAATCTGATTTTGATCTCTGGACCACATGATGGAGGAAAGAACCGACTTCCCACAGTCATCCATGTTCACCTCCAAACGTGCACACGCACATGGAAGCGCTAGTTTAATTAATGTATTACAATAGCCTTAAAAGTTAGTTTGGAGTATGTATAGTATTATCTTTAGTCTGGCAGTTTTATCTCTTTCATGTTTGTGAAGCTTTTTCAATGGTTTTATCTTTTTCCTGATGACATTTCTTGGTTTTTCTTTGCCCTGCAGACAGACTTCAGAAGGCAGCAAGAAGGACAAAAAGGTATGACTGAGAGCCACAAACTCATGTTTTACTCTTGAGATTTTAGGGGCTAAACTTTGCTTTTATAACTAACCAAGTAACATTTTAAGAACTGTTTTTGCAGGCTGGGAGGTGGTGGTGCACGCCTTTAATCCCAGCACTCGGGAGGCAGAGGCAGGTGGATCTCTGTGAGTTCGAGGCCAGCCTGGTCTAAAGAGCTAGTTCCAGGACAGGAACCAAAGCTACAGAGAAACCCTGTCTTGAAAAACCGAAAAACAAAACAAAACTGTTTTTGCAAAATTATTTTCACATATTTCCTTCTACATAGAAATTGTGTATTCTTTCTCATTCCAGGCCAGGACTGAGGACAGAGAGTTCCACGTCGAGGAAAACAAAAGCCCAAAGTTCCAGACACACCCTTGATATATTTTTCAAATGAACTTTGAACATTTTTATTGAAATTTTAGTTTTATAGTCAATGTATTTGTTCCTCCTCGTTTTAAATTTATTATTTAGGGAAGACAAGTACAATAATACCTCCCCACATGGCCTTTTTAAAGAATGTAGACTATATATTAACTTATTTCTTTATATTTTCTTTAATTAACCATAAGAATCTCATTCCCAGTATATATCAGTTGGAAATCAGTCTTGTTAGAGATAACTTTAAAACAAGAGTAGAAGGGGCAGTCAGAAGATGACATGCTATTTTATGATGAATATAAAATACTTATTAGGACTCTGAGTCATGTGCTCTTGTTTCTGCACGGGCGTCTTAGTGCCTAGCCACCGGGTTGCCACTGGATGCTGCTGGACTTGCTCTCGTGTCTGTAAGTGTTCTGTGAGCATTTGTAGTTAGATTTACCCATGAGGTCTGTGAAGAACATTAGTTTAGCAGAGATAGCATGGGTACCTGCAGGAAAATAATGCACAGTATTATCTGTGTTTGAAGGACTTGTCCAAACTACTGTTAATCGTTTTCCCTTACTCACAATTTCTTTATCTTATAAATAAGCACTTGGTTCATGTAAAGAAATACTTAGTTTATAACTCAAAATTGTTTTTTTAACTCAGTACTTTAAACGGCAGTATTTCATTTCTTGGTAATTATGTTTGGCTCCCTACAAATCTGTAGTAAACAAGATGAGTTGTGACATCACTTGATTTTCTTCCTCCTCGTTAAGAGAAAATGTGCAGCTCCGAAGATGAATGCCTGGTGAAGCTCTGCCCTTCTCTCAGCTAATGTCTGCGCGTCTCTGTTGCTATTTGTGAAGGAAGAAAGATTCGCAGCAGTTGAAGAGTTGTACCGAGCTTGGCGCTACCCACACACTCTTATCAAAAAGCCCTTTTTGCCACCACGCTTTAAGAACTGAATCTTGTACACGCCTTTAATCCCAGCATTCAGAAGGAAGAGGCAGGTGGATCTCTGAGTTCAAGGCCAGCCAGGTTTACAGAGAGAATTCTAGGACAGCCGGAGCTACACAGAGAAACTGTGTCTCAGAAAACAAAAAAGGAGAAAGAGAACTGAATCTTTTTTCTTATGGTTTTGGTCTTTGAATATTTTAGTTCATTTAGAGTAGACAGGGAAATATTTGAGGAATAGCTAGCATCCTTAGGGCTTTGCAAAGCCTTTGCCACAGTCACAACCTGACTTTTAATTCCTGGCCTCGTTAAAGATGGACTGAAAGCTTGCTGATGTGCTAGTCCCCCACCTGTACACCATGGACAGTCCCAAAGCTGTGGCGTTTCAGTTATTGATTGTGATTTACTTATGTAAATTATTTATAAAATTAAGTTCAGTGAAACTGATTTAATGTATTGAAAAGTAGATATTACTGTATTTATTGTTTTTCCCCATCTAAATTTATTTTTACTGTTTTCCACATTAAATAATAAATTATTTTCATTTAGATGCCCCATTTAATTGAATGCCATAATATATAACATTTAATAATTTAAAATAAAATTTTAAAACCTTTGAGAATCTCTTACATGTGTAATTATTTACATTATTTTCTTCTCTTACTCTTTCTCTTTCAACTTCTCCCATGTTCCCCTCAATCTCTCTCAAATTCATGACCTCTTTTTAAATTACTATTGTTACATATAGGTGTGTGTATGTGTGTGTGCATGCACGCACACACTGTTACTTGTATGTAACCTGCTGAATCCATTTAGTACAGCTCTATGTCTGTGTGTCTAGGGCTGACTACATGGGGCAGATGAACGTACCCGTGATTGGCCCTGGAGCAGATGGACTCTCCCACTTTCAACTGTCATTAATCACTTGGAGCTCTTCATCCAGGATGGAGCCTGTGAGATTTCCCCATCCGTGTTGGCATGTTTAACTAGTATTGCCCTTGTGTAGATCTTGTGTAAGCGACTATGTTGTTAAGATTTTGTTGGTGTAGCTTCCTCGTCATACATAGAGGACATTGTCGGCAGACTTCCTGGTCCTCTGGCTCACAGTCTTTCCACCCCATCCTCCACAGTTCCCTGAGCCTTAGGTGCAGGAGCCTCAGTCAGGGTGGCATATTCCCTTCTCAGCAGGAGAAACCAGAGCTTTCTAGAGAAATGACTGCCTCCCCACCAGAAGGCTCCTAAGCAGAAAGCTTTGTCTTGGCCTCTCCAACCCAACGCAAGTTCCACGTCTCTCTCATTCCTTTGTGTGTCGTCCCAGCTTTGAGTCATACCTCAAATCTGTTTCACCATCCCGACTATCCCCGACCATCCCATCCCCGTCCATAGGCCGTTTGCCACCTGGTTGTTGATAGACTGAGTCCTCTTCACTTCTGGATCACAGTTCATCTTCAAGGGAAGACAGGGCAAGAAGCCAAGGGCAAAGCCAACGGCAGCACTGTAGAGGAACACTGTGGTTGATTTGAGGTCTGCTTGCTCCATGCCCAGATTCCTCTACGTGCCTGATCTTCTCCGATAGCTTCATCTTTGTTTTCTGTCTGGACTTCTCCCACATTCTTGATTATCTGCTTTATCTTGCATTTCCAGCATATTTTTTAAGTTCTTGAAGAATTGTTAGAAAGCATAATGAAACTCAGAAGGGATAATAAGTGAGGACCCATAAACTTAGAAAGTCAAGTCATGGGAAAGCATGTTTGCAACACATAGAATCTGGAATATTAATTTGATTGTTAATTGAGACTCAGGAAGAACAATCGCAGGTAGAAAGTGACACAAAGGACTTTAAATGCACTTCACATGGAAGAAAATCTGAATGGCCAAGAGACATCAAGACGGTCTTAGCCATACTAGTCACCCCGACAGGGACAATTAAACTACAAAGAGTATTACTGCATTCCCACTGTGTTAGAAGAAGAAACAATTCAGTGCTGCTAAGTTTTAGAAATGATTTGAATCCTCACTTTGAGAATAGTCACTTCTGAAAACAATTTGGTTTTTAATCAGTTTAGCAGATGAAATGAGTAAAAGGTAGAAACAAGTAAAAATGAAACTTCATATGGTCAGCGTGTTTGCCGACGTTATTTTAAGAGAAAGTTTATTTTTAACTCACTTGCCTACTTTTTAAATAAATCTACTTTTTTCAGAGTTCAGTAAAGTTCTGTCTGTAAAATCAATACTATTCCTATAAATCTGCTATAACCAATTAGAAAATAGAATAAAAATAATCTTGTGTATCATGGGATCTGAGAGGTACCTCAGAAGGAAAAATGTTCAAGGATTTGGGAACATGTAGTAGTGGGAGCGGCGGGGCTGCGTCCCCGGCACCCGGCCGCCCGCACGGCTAGCTTTACCCGAAATAATTACACAGAAACTGTATTCTTTTAAACACTGCCTGGCCCATTAGTTTCAGCCTCTTAACCCATTTCTAATAATCTATGTAGCACCACGAGGTGCGCTTACCAGGAAAGATCTTAACCTGTGTCTGTCTGGAGTGGGAGAACCATGGCAACTCCCTGACTCAGCTTCTTTCTCCCAGCATTCTGTTCTGTTTTCTCCGCCTACCTAAGGGTTGGCCTATCAAATGGGCCTAGGCAGTTTCTTTATTAATAAGAAACCACTCCCACATCAGGAACAGATGAAAAGTACAAGTGAATCAATGAAATAATCTTATTCACGAACAGGAAGAATGGCTATATAAAACTACCCCCACCCTGGCATCAGTTATATTGTTAAGTACAATAATAGTCAAACCCCCTTAGAAATTGATAGATAGAGCCAGGCATGGTGGCACACACTTTTAATGCCAGCATTCAGGAGCCAGAGGCAAGAAGATCTCAAGTTCAAGACCAGTCTGGTTTATATACTAAGACCCTGTCTCAAGAAGAGGAAAGAGAGATAAGTAGCTACTAAATTTTGGGTAGCAATTAATAAAGTATTAACAGTAGCATTGGTAATGGGAGGGGTATTTTAAATAACCACGTGTGAACGTGTTGGCTATTAAATAAATGGTCCTTCTATGGTTAATAACTTATAAAGAAAACTTAAACTTAATTGCACCCTAACTGTGCTGGGAGTCCATGGGCTCCCCTCAAGTCTGATTATTTGCTAGAAGGACTAACAGAACTCAGGAAAACTGAAGAGCTCAAGATTACAGTTTGTAAAAAGATATAAATCAAAATAAGCAAAGGAACTAGATGAGACTCAGAGGTAGAATGGTTTCCTGTGTATACAAGACCCTCTGTTTGATATACAGTACGGTATGGGGGTGAGGCCGGCAAAGCCTCATGCTCCCAGGGGAGGCATATGAAGCATATACAATTCTCCCACAAGTACTGTATGCCAGCACATACAAAATATCACCAAGACTCCCTGCTCAACCCTCGTCACCCAGGCTTTTTCCTGGAAAGTCTGCGGCAGGCATTCCTGTCATCCCAACTGACCTTAGCTTTAAACCTTCCAGAGAGCTTACTGGCCCAAGGTCTCAGTCTTCAGAAAGCAAGCATTCAGCTTCTGCTAGTTGGCAATGTAAGCTATCTCTTCAAACGAATACAATGTGGCCCCAAGCTGTGGACAGGAAACATTCTTATCAGACTGGTAAAGGCCAGGGGCTCCAAGGCTGATTCCAAAGAGAGGAGTCTTTCTTTGCAAAACATAGGAAGGAGTTGAGCAACCTGAACCTGCCAAGGTGACCCTTACAGTTTGCTTGCAAAATAAATGTCAATCAGAACTGTATTTGAATAAAGAATAAAAAGATAAGGATCTTAGGGTGACTTTTCTCCCTTTTTTAATGCAGAATAAGTCTCCAATTTTTAACATGTTGAGGGCGTCTCCGATACAGAGCCTGGCCTGCTTGTTTATGGCATGTCATTAGTATGTACTACAGGTAGCATAAAGAGGCCTGGTGATTGCATGTCAGTACAACCATCTCTTTGACAATGTCCTATTGTTGGGGTAATTTGTGGCTAGACATCTTTCTTCTGTCCTCTGGGACCACAGAAAAGCAGCATTCTGGGAACGTATTTATACACATAGACCATTCTCTTAGAAGTGCTTTGGATCCAACCTTAGCATGGAATTGGAAGGTTCAGGAACCTACTGAAGAGTGATCTTCAAGAGACAGAGTTCCCACACTGACACGGTAAGAGCTGTGCTGCTGAGTTAAAGAAGGAGCTTCATGCCCAGAGAATGTAGGCAGTGCCCAGTGTAAGAACACAGGAGGTAAATCAAGAGAAAGGTAGCAATCGACACCTGCTGCTCTCGTGTTAAATGTCGCTGCTCATCATGGGCTATGTGTGAGCTCATCCCCCCCCTATTTCTGCCTCTACTTCTGTCAACCCCAAACATGTTAGCCAATTCCAGTTGCCCTTCTAGAGCCCTCTGGAAAGATCCATTTCTCTCCTTCTATGTCCCGGCCTTTTGAGATAGAAACGCGATGTTAGCTTCAAAGTACACACTTAAGAATCTTGCAATCGGGGCTGAGAAGATACATTAGTGATGAAAGTGTTTGCAAGAAAAGAGTGAGGACTGGCACTTGGTCCCCAGAATGCACGTCAATGCAGGTCGGCCTGGTGGCCCTGCCTATGATTCCAGCCTCCGGGGGCAGACACAGGAGCTCCCCTGAGCAAACTGACTAGCAAGTCTAGCCATATCCTGTGAGCTCAGGATTTGAGAGACCTGCCTCCATAAGGCAAGAAAGCAATCCAGAATAATTCCTGACATAAATTCAGCCTCCACATGCACCTAACAGGTAAAAAACTTGCATACATGAATACACACTGCACACTTGAAAGTGGGAAAAAAATCTGTCAATATTGTTTTAAATTTCAAAACATTTTAAGTATGTTTGTGGTTGAGGCTAGGACACATTCGTTCATAGCTGTTTTAGCCACATGTAGCCTTCCTAGCCAACCTTCTGTTCGGAGAGAAATGAAAGCTTTCAGGACTGAACACTGGCAGCTGTTCCCTGGTAGAACTGTTTTTGTATTTATTTGACAAATTGGTCTCAAGCCTGGAAGTACTGTAAGGCAGTGGAGGTACAGAAGGGGAGAAAGCCTGAGAAACCTCCTGCCTTGGTGATGTTTAATATTAGATGCATAGTAAATAATATCTGTTTTTGTGACAACTACCATAAACGAAAGAGCAGCTAAAGGAGAGAGGAGGGGGTGTTCATAATATTTTAGAACTGAGTGGTTAGAGTACCTTCTTTGAAAGAAGTGACAGCCTGAGCTTTAATTATATGGAAGTTGAAATTGTTGAATTAAAAGCATTGAAAGGGGTGGGGAAGTGGGGAAGGAGTTAGTTCTGGGGAGAGAGAGTTAGAAACCGAATGCTGTGCAGGAGAAGATACCAGAGGAGCAACAGGAAGGGGAAGAGCTTCCCTGGCAAGGTAACCTGCTGGGAAATATTATTTTACGATGTGTTGCATTTGTTTATGCTGTGGACTATATGTTTAATGATGCAAGGATGTGTTGCATTCTTGTATGCTGCACTTGTTTAACTATGTGAAACTGTGTTACTTTTCCTGCCTAGAATGCATGATTGGTCGGTCTAACAAAGAACTAAACATCCAGTAGGTAGGCAGGAGAAAGGAAAGAGAATAAATAGAAGAAGAAATCTGGGAAGAGGAGATAGAGGAATGAGAGGAGGAGAGGCGGACTCCAGGGACCAGACTACACAACAAACCATGGAGTAAGAAATAAAGAAAGGTATATAGAAAGAGTAAGATAAAAACCCAGAGGCAAAGGTAGACAGGATAATTTAAGAAAAGCTGGCGAGAAAGGAGCCAAGCTAAGGCCAGGCATTTATAAGGAAGAATAAGCCTCCGTGTGATTTATTTGAGAGTTGGGTAGAGAGCCCCCCAAAGAGTCAGAAAGGTAAAAACAAAATCCATCCATACATCAGCACACTGAGATAATTCATTTGCTGTTTGAAAAAGACAGCATCACGTGGTGCTTCATAGCTTGCATCTTGTCAAAGCTCTCAGGAGAATCAAGAAGAAAAGCTGCCACCATGTATTGCTTCTGGTCTCGTGTCCCATGATAGAGGAGGGTCAGCCTTTCGGCATTTCTTGAAGGGTGTAGAGCAAAGAATCAGTGCTTTCAGTTTGTTTGTTTTTCGAGACAGGTTTTCTTAGTGTAGCCCTGACTGTGGCACTCTCTCTATAGACCAGGCTGGCCTCAAACTCACAGAGATCTGCCTGCCTTTCCCTCTCCAGTGCTGGGATTAAAAACTGCCCAGCAACTTTTTTTTTCTTGTTGAGAGCATTAACAGAATGAGAGAGACGAGGTGTGAGCCACTCAGAGTTAATGCTAGAAGCGAAACTCTAGTCCTCTGAAGAGCAATTAGAGCTCTTAACCACTGAACCGTCTTTTCAGCCTTAATATTACATAATTTACATTAAAATGAAATATCTCATAAGTTTCATAATAGAAAACTAAAGTCGTATCACCTCTTTTATTTGAAGTTTATTTGGTGAGTCAGGATTTGTTGGACTTGGTTCCGTATTGCTTCAGTTTTTAACAGAGTCAGCCAGGAAAGCGGATAATTTCATGATTACCAAATGAGAAACTGGGTCATTTTTTTTTCAGGAGGAAATTTTGGAAACCCAGTTAGGAAGTATTTAATACTGAATTTCCAGTAGTGAGTGAGCACTGACTATAAATCAAAGCCAGACATTTTTGAATCGTACAAAGAAGTGATGGAGTATGAACTCGGAGTTTCTGAGGGCTTGTAGATTTCCAGAACTGTTTCCTTTTGTGGACAGCCAAACCCTAGTACCTGATATGCCACACCTAAGGGTGGCCTCCGCAGACCAATCCAAGCCAGGGCAGGGCTGGAGAACCAAGGCCTGTGCCTAGATACCGGCTCCTCCAAGACAGCAGTCTCAACCCAGCTTCTGCAGGATGCATTTTCAGTTCGGCCCCGCACCCTGGTGAAGTTTTCACAGCTAAGGTGGCCATGAACCCCGAGAGCAGCCGGAGCCACGGGGCAAGGGAGCTGATGCTCCAGGCGGCCAGGGTCCTGAGGGCTGACCTGAGGGACGCGGCCACCGGGCCCTGGAGGAATCTGGCCAGGGTGCCAAAGCCTGAGGGGGATGGACGAGGAGGCTGCAGCAGCAGGACATGAAAGCTGTGAGTTCTGGGAAGGGGTCTCCTGGTGGGCAGAGGGTGGGCTCAGGCTGAGGAACTAGAGGAGTAATCACGGCCTCCTGGAAGGAAACGGGCCAGCAATCTGCCCTGGCGACCCTCAGGATGTCCCCCGACACCGCCTTACCTCCTCCGCGCCCCCATCCCCATCCCCATCCCATCCCCATCCTGGGGTGTTTATCCACGCCTGCACTCTGTACTGTGGACGGGGGATCGCCTTTCCAAGCTGAGGAGGAGACTGTTTAAAGAAACGAGTAAGCCCTTTGCAAATAGAATTCCTTGTTCTCTTGTCTTAAATCATGATTTACGTGCAGATTTATTGCGTGACTTTGAGTCACGTACAGTTGTTGCTAGGTTTCTAAAGCATGGGGAATAGATCAGCTATGCTTTGGCAATGATAGCAGTTAACTGAGGAGGCCCCAATGAGGAGGTCATCAGGAGTTGAAAATAAAGGACTCAAGTCTCTTAACAGCACACTATGGGCTCACATGGATGGGCTCTTTCCTGAAGCCCAGCCTTGGCAACTGAACTCCAGTTCCTTAATATAATGTACAGTCAGTTGGTTAGCTAATTCCAGAAACACTTTCCCAGGGCTTAATATTTGCTAGACATGATTCAGACGCGGGGATGCAGAAGCCAAGGTAGTTCCTGTTCCCTGGAGCTCGCTTTCTGCTGTGGTGGAACTTAAGTTGGTGGACCACGAGGAAGTAAACCCGTGTGACCATTTGAGGGAAAGGTCTGAGAGCACTGTGGAAGCCGTGAAACAACGTGACCAGGGCTCAGGCAGACTTTAGGACGGATACCCAAATGAGAGGAAACAACCAGCCACGGGAAGTTCAGATAGAAACCATGTCAAGCAAGACTGAAGCAGATGCAGACATGGAATGCCTGTTTAAAATGAGGAAGATGCCCCTTCCGGAGCATTGTGAATGAAGCTGAGAGCTGCTGAGGTCGGAGAGGGTTAGACTGTGGGTGGTGACATCTCCTAGTTCAGTAGGAGGGCCTTGGTGGAAGGACGTTTTCATGTTACTGAGGGGGCAACCCCAAAAAGAATATCAGGACAAGTCTATCCACTGTGCAGCTGCAGTCCAAAACAACGCCCACGTACCCATGGAATGAAACCTCTGAAACTCCGAGTCAAAATGAACTTTTTCTCATTCCACGTCAATTGTCTCAGGCATTTTGCTAACACAGGACGGTAGGTAGAATGAGTTCATTCACAAACATGGGACTGTATTTTTCCCTCAATTTTAGACATCTAAATAAATGCACACTGGTATCTCATTGGTGGTCTTAATCTGAGTTTCCCTCTCTATAGTGGTGACAAATTTCATTACTTTGGTTCCTCTCTGTTCTTCTGAAGTCTTTTCTCTGTACTTAAATTGGGTTGTTGAATATTGAGAGCTAAATATTCTGGATGTATTTAATTTGTCAGAAATATTATTTAAGAATATAAAAACCTAAAAAAAAAGAATATAAAAACCTATGTTGTAGTGTATCTTATTCTGGTTTTTTGTCTGTTTTCTGTTTTTGTTTGTTTGTTTGTTTGTTTGTTTTTTTCTAGTCAGGGTTTCTCTGTGTAGCTCCAGCTGTACTGGAACTCACTCTATAGACCAAGCAGACTTCAAACTCATATAAAGATCCACCTACTTCTGCCTCCCAAGTACTGGGATTAAAGGCGTGCACCATCACTGACTGGCTCATATACTTTATTCTTTAGTGGTGCCTTTCATAAGAGTGGATAGGTTACATTTTGATGAAGTATAGTTTATCAATTTTCTTTTCTTTCATGGTTTTGCTATCACTGTTATGTATGTGTGAGAAATCTTCCTGAACCACAGACTATAAAGTTTTTCCCATGCATTTTGTTCTGAAAGTTTATAGTTTTGTGTTTTTCATTTACATACACAACCCATTTGGAATTCATTTCTGTATAACATATAAAGTTTATATCAAGATTCAGTATGGTGTCCAAATATTTAAATGCCATTCGTTGAGATGATTATCCACTCTCTGTTGTCAAAACTTGCAAACCTTTGTCAAAAAACTAACTGGCCTATTTGTCTGCGTTGGTTTTCAGACTGTATATGTTATTCTATGGTGGATGTTTCCTCTCTGTGTCAGATGCCCTACATCACCCTGTTCTTGCACATTGCTGTACAATTGTGACACACTCCAGTTCACTAATGTGACTCTCCCAGCATTGCTCTTTCAAAACTGATTTGGTCTTTCAAAATTGTTCTTTGCCTTTCTAGATAAGTTTTATATGAACCTGTCAGTAGCTGCAATATATTTGTGCAGCATTTTATTGAAAATCCATTATATCAATAGACAACTTTGGGGACATTAACAGTTTATGATGTTCACTCTTCCAAACCGAAGGACTTGATGTATCTTCCCATTATTTAGCTTTGAGTGCTTTCACCCACAGTTCTTTTTTAATATTTAGTTTATTATTTTATGTGTGTTTTGCCTGCATGTATGTTATGTGTGTCATGTATGTGCCTAGCCCTTCAAGGTCAGAAGAAGGTTTTGGGTCCACTGGGACTGGAGTTAGAGATGGTTACAAGCTGCCTTATAGGTGCTGGGAATTGAATCTGGGTCTTCTGCAAAAGCAACAAGTGCTCCTTAACCTCTGAGCCAACTCTCCAGCCCCAATATTTCTTTGGTACAGAAAAGCTGTGTGTTTTGTTGCCTTTATATGCAAATAATTTGGCTTTTGATCAATTGTAAATAGTGCTTTGTAAATTTTAGTTTTTATTCGTTTATTGCCAATATGTAAAAATATGACTAATAGTTATGTATTAATCTTGTATTCAACAAACTTGCTAACCTCAGTTACTGGTTCTAGAGCTACTTTGTGTATTTTTTGAGATTCTATACGTAAGTAACCAAGTTGTCGGAAGCCAGACTAGACAGTTTCTCCTCCTACTTGGTGCCTCTTCTCTTATGTACCAATTTATTGTTCTAGCTACAACTCTCAGCACAGGCCGTAAACAGAGATGTAAGAGTGAAAAATCTCTTCTCATTCTTGATCTTTAGAAAAAAAAAAAGAAGCTCAGATTTTAAAAATCAAGTATGCTATTGCTTGTCAGTTTTTGTAGATGTCCTTTCAAAATGAGGAACTTCTCTTCTATTTCCAGTTAACCAAGAGAGGTGTTTGGTGTTTTTGTCTTGTTTTGTTTCTTTGGGGAAGGGAGAAGAAGGCCGTTTGTTCTTTGTTTTCATTTCTTTTATAAATGTAATTTATTTAGTGTGTGTGTGTGTGTGTGTGCGTGTGTGTGATGTATGGTGTGAGGATGGTGCATGCATGCTATAGTGTACATGTGCAGGTCAGAGGGCGGCTCTGTGGTTCTTTACCTTTATGTCCTTTTTGGGGTTAGAGTTCAGGTCGTCAGGCTTGCCTTTCCCCGCTGAGCCATCTTGCTGACCCCTAAAAAAGGTTTTTATAGACTCTGTTGGTCTTTAAATGCTTTGTAAAGTTCATCAAAAAAATGTTTTCAAGCATAAAGATTTCTTTTTTGGCATAGTTCTAGCTATGAATCTAGTTTCTCTGCTACTCAGAGTTATCCATGATAATTATATCATCTTGCATGAATTTTGGTAGCCTGTGGTTGTCTAGAAAACACATTTTATCTTAGTTGATAAATTTATATGGATGGAGTTGTTCATAATATTCCCTTATCTTTTCTTGTTTGTTGTTGTTTTTGAAACAGTCTTTCTAAGTATCTCAGAATGGTCTTGAACTCACAATTTGCCTGCCTCTTCCTGATCCTTTTTGATGTCTGATGGGGTCTATAAAAATATGTTTTCGTTCACTTATGATACTGATCTTTTTATGTCATCTGGCTGGGCAATTTTTTTGGTTCATTGATGTTTTTAGATAAGCAGCTATTATTTTCATTGATTTTTGTCTTATGATTTTTTCTGTTTGAAGTTTCATTGATCACCACTTTTATCTTGCTATTTTTCTTCTGTTTACTTTTTTCTCTTCTCCTTTTAAAAAACATTGTTTTTATTTCATGTGCATATGTATTTTCCTGCTTGTGTGAGTATGCACCATGTGTGAGCCTGGTGCCTGTGGAGGTCAGAAGAGGGTGCCCCGTCCCCTAGAAATGGAATTACAGATGATTGTGAGCCACCACGTGAGTGCTGGGAACCAAACTCATGTCCTCAACGGGAACAGTCAGCGCTCTTACCTGCTGAGCCATCTCTCCAACCAAGCTCTTTTCCTTTTCATTCAGTTCAAAATATTTTGTCAAGCATCTGCTTTCAATTCTTAACCTCAATTTTTATTTTATCCCCCATGATTTGTACTGTCTCTTGAGAACTCTCTGACTCTCTTGAATCTTCTCTATGCTAGTTAATAAAACTTGTCACATGTATGTATGAACAAGAGGGGTGGAGTGGGGGATGTCACGGTCACAGTAGGTGTGAATCCAATTTTATGTCCTTTCTTATAAATGATAATAAAACATGTCAATCTTCTTAGCCTTTATCTGGGTTTCTACAGTGGACTCATTAAAAGCTTTGGTTCCTCCAGGTCTGGCACTAAATCTGAGTTCTGCAGATAGAAGGAAGTTTTAGCTTTGGAAGAAGCTCATTCCTCCCAGTCTTATCCCCTACTGATGTCTCACAAACAAGGTCCCCTGGGAGGTCACTCTGCTGTGGCCCTCTGACCTGCTAAGCTGATAGCAGGTAGTACAACTTCAGGGTGGCCTTCTTGAGCAACGCTTTGTTTGAGGTCAGGGACATTTTGAGGGTATGAAAACAAAAACACTTGCAATATGAGGAGAAGATGGAATCGTGGTATTCTGGCTTTGGAAAATATTTAAGCAAATAGGCCGTGTCCTCAACAGCTGAGTAGGAGAGTCTCAAGGTTGCAGTTCCAGCTTTTCAGAGTACGAGGCTGTCACATGAAACGTGACAGAGAACTGTGGCCTCCTTTGCTCCTCTGGGTCATGCTCTCTTTCTTTCTTTCAGTATTGCCAATTGAGAGAAGCTTTCAGAACACCGCTAAAAGCAATAATTTGGCTCTTATGGAGAAGCTGTTTGAAAAGAAGGTTAACATTAATGCTGTGAACACCGTGAGTAGAAGTCACAGACATGACAAGTGACGATTCCATGTGGTGGCTTGGGAGCACATAGGTCAGCTGGAATAATAGCAACAATCAAAGAGACTCGGCTGGCTGAGATATGGGGGCTCTAATGTGGGTGTTAGAACTAAAGATGAAATTACGCAGCAGAGCAGATCAAGGAGTTTTCACTTTAGGGAGGGAAATGTGCGGGGTCTTATGCACATCTGTGCAGAGTCTGTGAGGAGACAAGCAAGTCCACCATGGGGATTGTGGGCCTGGACTTGGCCCTAGATTGTATCCTGTGGATAGATCGGTTCAGTCTTCCCCATTCTGGAAAGCCAGGGCATGACTTGCTGTAACATCTGGGCCCCTTTTCTCTCTTTGGGTAAACAAGCCAAAGAAGTATGTGGATTTTTCATCTTACTGTTTTTGAACTAGAAAGTATCCACATGCCAGGCAACAAATCTGGCTTTTGTTCTTCCAGTACCTAGGCTTTGGGGGAGAACTCCACTGCCAGAAACATGGATCTCCTGTTGCTTGGCTTGGTGGGGAGTTCCTTCAAGGCAGGGTTTATCAGCATGAGAGGGTTAACAGGTAAGACTTTCTTAGGGTGAACTGTAGGGTGCTTTGAAGTCAGAATACAGAAGTGGGTTTAATGCTAAATAAAGCCTAAGCCCTCAGAGGCCCTGCTTGCTCAGGCCCCTCCAAAGGCTCCGGGAGGGCTCTAGCAATGCTGCCCATGACTATATGATCTTCATGAGACCTAAGAAGACATTGTAGCTGTAACAAATTATACCTCTCTAATTTTGGCTTTAGGGAAATAGCTCTGTCAATAAAGTGCTGGTCACACATCATGAAGACCCAGTCCTAGCACCCAGAGAAAAAGCCCGGTGTGGTTGGACGTGTTTGTATCCCAGTGCTGAGGACGTGGAGACTGCAGCTCCCTGGCTAGCCAGTGTAGCCTGATTGGCAACCTTCAGGTCCCGCTGAAAGAATATCTCAAACATAAAGATGGGTCCTGAAAATCAACATCTGGGCTGACTTCTAACCTCCACACACGCTTTCACAACTCTAACCCTACTGTACCCACAAAAGGGTTCCTAATAGTCTGATCTCAGGTTTCTTAAAATATGTAGCTATTCCAGGCAGGAAAGTCACAGAAACAAAACTGCACAGTCTAAGTTATGCCGCACATGGAGCAGAAGAATGATCTTTAGTGGTTGCATATGTGTGCATGAATGCATGTGATGGGTTATGTGCTCAGGCATACACTCGTGGGAATTTAGGTATCCGTATATGCACTTGTATTTATGTGCATTGTGCATTTTTGATGTATTATGGATATATGTACATATATGTATAACATTATATATACAGATACATACACACAATCACATATATGTTTCATACACATGTTTATATTATATGTTTGTAATATACACACATTATATATTATTCATATATCCATATATATGATATGTATATACACATAAATAGAAAATCAGAAAAATTTATAGCACAACAATTCTAGGAACAAAAAATAGGGAAGGGGAATTGATGTGGGATTCCCTTCTGTATACTGTGAATACCATTAGTTAATAAATAAAACTGCTTTGGGCCTGTTGCGGCACAGAACAGGGCAAGGCAGGAATTTCAAGCAGGTAAATAAGAAGAAAGAAGGCAGAGTAAAAGAGAAGCCATGTAGCCACAGGAGACAGATGTTGGACACCAGATGGAACCTTACCAGTAAGCTACTACCATGTGGCCATACAAAGATTAATAGAAAGAGATTAATTTAAGATGTAAGAGCTAGCTAGGAATATACTAGAGTCCCTGGCCAAGCAGTGTTGTAATTAATACAGCTTCCGTGTGATTATTTCAGGTCTAAGCGGCTAGGAAACAAATGAGCAGCATCCAACTATGATGAATAAAAGAAGAGAGGATAGGAGGAGGGAAGAAAAGACAATAGCTGGTTGGCATGTAGAGAAGGTTCAGCTGTTGAGAGCACTGGCTGCTTTTACAGAGGAAAAGGGTTCAATTCCCTGCACCCATGTGTCATTAACCCACTGTAACTCCAGTTCCTGGAAATCCAACGCCCTCTTCTGGCTTCTGTGAACATGCGTGGAGGCAGACGCAGAGGGATCTCTGCGAATTTGAGGCCAAACTGGTCTACATAGTGAGTTCCAGGTCCCCTAGGGCTTTAAAAAGGAGAAGAAAACTAGAGAAAAGAAGCAGGCAGAAAAAAAAACTGTGAAAATATTTATTTTCTAAAACACGGGTATTTATCTTTAAAATTATTCTAAGCATAGAGATTTCTTTTTGAGTAAGTAAAACAGCAGTAATTTTTTTCTAACTAGCAGGAAGTACAGCCTCTACAAGTTTAAAACGACTTCAAATTTTCTGCACAAAGCAGCTGCAGTTATGCTACTGGTGTTTGACCTATAGTTTCACACATGCTAGACAGCCTACCACTGATCTAATTCCCCAGACAATTGTGTGTTTGTTTGCGTGTGTTCATGGATATGCATTCACATCCGTGTATGAGCAGGTGTTCACGTGGGTGGCTATGTGTATGGAAGCCAGAGGACATCCTTGGGCGTCAACCCCCTCTGTCTTCCTTCTCCCTTCCTCTCTCCTTCATTCTACAGAAGGAAGGCACTGGGTCTTTAGAATATCTCAAAGCCTGTGGGCGGACTGGAAAGCCCACCATCACAGTTACAGGTCTTGGCTTGGTCCTAGATTGTAGCCTGGGGACTAAGACTAAGTCCAGGGCCTCACACATACTAGGCAAATGCCCTACCACTGAACTAACACACACACACACACACACACACACACACACACACACACACTTTCTAATGACAGCTATTTAATCTTGTTTATAGCAACTTGTCATGGTTAGTTGCAGGGTTCCTTAAAATCTGTGATGATGCATATTTTTTTTAAGTGTAAGTGGACTTATTACATTCTTGTACAAATAAAGTTTATGGGGAAGCAGCTGACCCGATAGAATAAACTCTACATTGCAGACAATGTCAAGATGACTTGTGTTTTGTAAACATCACCAGTTTAGCAAGCAAGAAAAGAAAATACTCATCTTAAACCATTCTCTTATTTCTGTCGTTACTTGTGTGAAACAAGAGTAGTTCATGCCCAGGCATCTTTGGGGGGGGGGGAATAAAACAATACTTAGAATATGGCAAGTGTGGCATGAATATTTCTGATAAGCAAAAACATACATTGTGGGAAGAGAGGTAAATTGTCTGTGGGCTTCCTGGAAGCAAAATGTGGCTTTTCCTTGGAAGATTTCAATAGCTTGTTTTCTCTCCCCGATTCTCTAACTTCCCCCTCTCTCCTTCCCTCCTCCTTTCTTCTTCTAACCTTGAATCTTCTCGTCTTTCTTTCCCTTCCTCTTCTCCTTTTTTCCTCCCTCCCTTCCTTCCTTTTCTTCCTCTCTCCCTCCCTCCTTTCTTCACTTCTTTCCAAATCAATTTATTTGCTTCTGTGCAAATGGCAGGCTTTTAATTATAGAAGAGAGATGCCGGGGAGACGGCACAACGATGAAGAGCAGTTGTTGCCCTTACAAAGGACCCAGTTCGTTTCCCAGCCCTGACATGGTGGTACACGGTCATTGTGACTCCAGTTCCAGGGCGTCCTGTATCCTCTCCTGGCCTCTTGGGCACACATGTCTCTTATATACGCATACAACTTAAACTATTTAGAAAATACATAGAAGAAAGGAACAAACTGAAACATTTAGGAAATTTTGCTGTCAGTGATCAATATATTCCATTTTGATTTAAATCCTAAGTATCTCCAAAAGCCATCTCGAAGGCTTGGTTGCCGCACAGTGGAAGTTGTGAGAGCTTTAAGAGATGGGGCCTAGCAGACAAGGACAGGTCCCTGAAGTCTACTCTTGAAGGGGTCTCTGGTACCCCAGCGTCTCCCTCTCTCTTTTCCTGGCTTATTCGAGGTGAGCAGCTTTGCTCCCTCCCATCCTTCCCGCCAGTGAGACTGTGATGCTCTGAGCCAAACTATGGCTTCCTCCTTAAGAATCGCTCACCTCAGTTATTTTGTCACACAGGACATCGACTAACATACATTGTGAGGGGGAATGCCATTGTTAATGACTGCATATGAGGAAAACTACAGCTTTTACTGTGTGGATGACTTTTATGGTATCACTGGATGGCAGGTTCTACAGGGCATGGGTCTAGGCGCCATCAGCAGATGGCCAGATTCTCAGGTGACTTCTGACAACACTTAGGGTATGATTCTGCTGCACACAGTTCTTACCCCTTTCAAAGGGAAAAGCAAAAAGTGTGACCAAATAATCAGAATACAGAGAGTCAATATGAAAGTTCTGGCCATATGAGAGACGGGAGACCCAGCTGAACATGGTGGCTCAAGCCTGTGATCCCAGCATTCAGGAGGCGGGCACGGGAGGATCACAAGTTAGAAGCCAGCCTGGGTGACAGTACCAGACTCGGTCTCATAAACAAAGCGAAAAACAAACGACCGAAGGAGACAGGGTGCTAACAGGGTTAAGTGATGACCAAATAACCAAAGATACAAATTCTGTTTCCTCAGATGAACCGCACGGCCCTGCACTTTGCGGTGGCGAGGAGTAATTTATCAGCGGTGGATTTCTTACTGAGTCACAAAGCCCGGGTTGATGTTGCCGACAAGGTAAGCTCACCTCCAGTGGGTAGACTGAACTGGCACACGGCCTGCTCTCAGGAGAATTGACAGCTGCAGACGTCTTCCTCTTGTGGGCACACTTCCATCGGCAGGCCGCATTACCAGAACGGCCTCTTAAGAGAAGACACACGCTGTGTGCTCTCTGTACTTGGTAACTAAACTGTTCACCCATTAAGACTTGAGATTTTACTCATTTTCCCGTATCAACCTTACGACCCCAGCTCTCACCTGCAAAAGTAGTATGATTGTCCACACTGCAGTCAGATTCATGACAGACAAATGAGAATTAGTTCCAGGGACTTTACATTTTGACTTTGCCCTGTGGACTCTGATCCTAAATAAATTTATCAAATGTGTGTTCTGTGCCAGGCACAGGTATCAGGGTGGGTATTTAATGCCATTTCCCTTCTAATCCTATGGAAAATATTAGTAGAATATACTCAATTTACAGATAAGGAGACTTGGATATAGAGAGGTTATAGATCCCGTCTCTCAAAGTTACATTTCGGAAGGACGGGAGGGAGGTTTGAACTGAACTTTTCTGGTTTCAGAGACTATGCTGTTAGCCACAAGCCAGCTTCTGTCTGTCTGTCAAGAGAGCAAAACCCACCTCAAGTACTTTTCATCCACTTTCCCACCTCCATTTAGTACTTCTTGGCACAAGGAAGCTAGCCAGAAAGACCCCAGGTCATGCTTCTCATCTCTGTGGCAGAAGACAGTGGCAGCTCTGCTTGTTATAAAACTCTTGAGTTCATAACAGGTTGTGGCTCTTTTTTATTACTTTTATTTTCAATGGGCGTGCATGTATGGTGGGTGAATGCAGGCATGTGTGTGCCCGGGCACACGTGTGGAAGTCGGAAACTGGTCACCTCTTTTACTGTGGGACCCTAGTCCATGGTTCTCGACTTTCCACCATCTAGAGATACTCAGAGTCTTTGTGTTCTCTCTAGTCTGTACATCCTGGGAGGGCGGGTTCAGCACTGTTTTCTCTTCACCTCTCCCAGGGCCTGGGAGCAAATATTTGGATAGTAAAAAGCTTCTGTTCACACCTATTAGTCATCTCGCGGGCTTCACTGGCAATGCTAGGGAACATGAAGGTTTGATAGCGCTGGGATTTTCCTTTGTGTCACCAGTGAGGCGCGGAGCTCTCTCGATTATTGCCATGGCACTGGTGAGCCAGTAGATTGTTATGTAATAACCCAGAGATAAAAATTACCACCGGCTGCCCACTCACTCTCTGAGTGTGATTAATTGTGTCGCAGCCATGGTTTTGAGGTGCAGGGGCATGGCTGATGGCTGAACCCAGGACTTTGCATACGTTAAGTAAGCATGCATCGCTGAGCAGTCCCAACCTAAGAAATTAAACAGATGAACAACAAAACCAAAGCAACTTCATTTTGAGACAAGATATCATTAAGTGTCTCATACTGGCCTTAAACTCTCTGTGTAATCCAGGCAGGCCTTGAATTTACAATCTCAGACATCCAAATAGCTGGTTTTACTGGCCTGCCACATTCTTATCATGACTGTGGCATTTAAGGGGCAGGTTTTTTCAGGTATGTAAATTCTGGTTTGGATATTTTGCCTATTAGTTAGCCTGTAAAAGTTAAGTTGGCAAGAGACATGATTATCCAGATATATTTATATTTTGTCATTGGAAACGTCGTACAGTATCTTTGTGTTTTACTTTAATCCCAACATATTGCCCAATCAGCTTTCTTCTTAAAGTACAGTACTGATTTTTGACAGGTATGCAGTTTTATATAACTACCATTACTTTAAAAATGTAGAGTAGGGCCTTGGGGTGTAGCTTAGTGGTAGTGTGTTTAGGATGCATAAGGCTCTGTGTTTATCCCCATCAAAAAAAAAAAAAGAGGAAAAAACACACACAACCAAATAAACAAACAAAAACCCCACTAAAACTAACGAAACTTAACAAGCAGAACAGATGCGCCACCCCAATTTTCCTGTTGTCTCTGCAGTCTAAGCTGTCCCACCCCTTGAGACTGTCACCTATGCGATGACAAATGACATAAGACATTTGTGGCTGATTCTTTCACTCAGCAAAGCTCTGCCGATGTTCACCCACATCCTTCCCCCTTTTAAACCCGACAATATTTGGTTTATGGATGGAGCCTAGTTTATCTCTTTACCACGTGAAGGACGTGAGGCTGGCTTTCCATTTGTTATTGTGAATAAAGTTTCTGGTGCTGGCGAGATGGCTCGGTAGATATGGTATCTACTGCACAATCATGGGAACCTGAATTTTAATACCCAGCACCCACACAAGAAGCCAGGCGTGGCTGCACACACCTCTAACAACAGTGCCGGGTGCAGAAGTCACACAGATGGGCGGATCCTGTGCCTCCCTGTCCTCCAACATAGCCAAAATGGTGAGCTCCAGGTCACCGAGAAACCTGTTTAAAAAAATAATGTCAGAGCAATTCATGAAAATATCAACAATCCACCTCAACCTCCACGTGTGTGTGTTTATGCACAAACACAAAGTAAGGCCTTGTGGACATTCTTGTATGTTTTTGCAGGCGTAGCTTTTCCTTTCTTTGGTATAAGAGACAGTTGGGCCACAGGCATATGTGTGTAACTGGGTGTGAGCTGTAGATCTGTATGGGCTGTTTTCATCCTCACCAGCAATGCAAGAGGTCAGTTTTGCTTTGGACTGCATGGTCGCCTGCTGTTGATGGTGTTTCCTCATTCGGTTCTGGCCATTCTATTCAGAATGTAGGTGTCTCACTGTGGTTTGAACTGTGCTTCTCCACTAGTGGTGACGTTAAATATCTTTTTACCTGTTAATTACCGTTTATGTCTCATCTTTAGTGGCATCTGCTGAGATGTGTGTGTGTTTGTGTGTGTGTGTGTGTGTGTGTGTGTTGGAGATGGGAATCAGGGCTTTCCACATATCAACTGAACCTTCTACCACCAATGTGTATACCTAACCAAATCTTCTGACTATTTCTAAAATGCGAGTTTGATTTTTCTTTTAATTTCTTTTAAATTATTCTTTCATTGTGAAGTCTTGATATTTCATCATAAACCCTGAGCACAGATCCAATGTTAGGTGCATATTTTGTATTATTCTCATATCTTCAGACTGTCTTTATAGTGTTCACAGAGCAGAAGTTTTTCATTTTGATGAAATAAAAATTTTGATGTCTGTTTTGTTTTGAGGCAGGGTCTCATCATATGACACCAGCCAACCTGGAATTCACTATGTAGACCAGGCTAGGCCTTGACCCAGAGATGCTCCTACCTCTGCTTTTTGAGTGCTGGTATTAAAAGCATACGTCATCATGCCTGGCTTAATATTCCTCTTTTTAAAAATGAGTCCTGATACTGATATTGCTTATATGAAGGGATGGTTTGTCTAATCACGGCATTTTTTTTTCATATTTTTCTTCTAAATATTTTATAGTCTTATGTTTCCATTTAGTTCTGGCGTTGCTATGGTTTCAACATGTCCCCTGTAATTCATGTGGCAGATGTCTGGGGCCGCTGCCCTGAGTGAGGAGATCTTTAAGAGCTGAATAGTTCATAGTGCCCTCAAGAATAGATTAGTGCTGTTTTCTCAGGGGAGGGTTCCTAATAAGGCGACCCCCCCCATGTTATGATGCAGTTCACCAAGGAAGCCTCTTCAGCTTGGACCGCTAAGCCTCCAGAGTCATGAGCCAAGCCTATTTTTTCTCATCATTAATTACCAGGCTGTTGTTACAGTTTGTTACAGCCTCTGAAAACAGATTAAGGCAGTGGTCCATCTCGAGCTGGTTTTAGTACAGAGCAGAAACGGTTTGCGATGGTTTTGTCGCACAAGGGTGATTGGGTTTTTTTATAAGTCCCTCCAGTTTCCAAAAGTTTTGTAATGCAGCTCAGGTCTGTCCCCAGAGTCAGTCTTGGACCATAGTCTTCACCAGAGTTCAGTTCCCCAAGCTGTTCGTCACAGGGCTAGGGATCGGTCCAGATATGGCTCAGGACACAGTCAGGAGTATACGCGTGAGCTCCTTCATGTCCACAATTAACCCTTCCTGCACACACACCATATCTCAGGTCCCCTAAGCTGTCATGGACAGAAGAGAGCAATGAGGCATGGATTCTGTCACCGTCTCTTCCTCAGGGGCTTCCTCCTGTCTCTTTTTGTCCAGGTCCAGTTCTAGAACGGGAACTGCCTTTGCGTCTCTAAGAAAGCAGTGAAAACATCAACACTCTCAGTTTGTAACCCTCCCCATCTGCCTATTTCCATTCGTTTTCTAGAGTTCTCTGATAGCTAGATTTTGTCCAGAGAGCTTAGTGGCTTTTGGTGGGAGAGACAGAGGGGAGGACACTTGCTCTACCTTAGCTGGAAGTTTACCCTACATAACAAGACTGCATGGTGAGAATCTGTAGATAGATAGATAGATAGATAGATAGATAGATAGATAGATAGATAGATAGATAGAAGATAGATAGATAGAAGATAGATGGATGGATAGATAGATAGATAGATAGATAGATAGATAGATAGATAGATAGATAGCAAAACTAAGATGGAAAACAACTGAGGAAGATTTCCGGACTCTACATGAAACACACACACACACACACACACACACACACACACACACTCATCCCCAAACAAACAAAATCCGTGATTTGAAAACATTCCAGATGATTATATTTGAAATGAGTATGACACGAGACAGTCCTGGTCTTAAGGACCCTGCTGTCAAACTGGGAAGCAAAGGGAAATACTGTAATAGACTAGTACCATTCAAGGCATTGAGACTCAGGGGCAGATGCCTGGCTCGGCCACTAAGGATGAAGGTGGGTGACATTCATGAGCTTTGAGATGAGCTAAATAACAGGAGGGTCTTAATTAGGGTGAACAAAGCTCCCAGACATAAGCAAAGCTCAGAGATAGACCTGCTTTTCTGTGACGTTCCTCACCTATGACCAGGCTGGTTATGGGAACCAAGTTGGTTATCAGTGACGTCCCAGCATTTTATACTTTGAAAAGCACGTGAACTCAGTGTCACCCATGTCATGGGCTCCAGCTTGCCTACTTTGTGGCATGGAGGATGCTCTGGGGAGATGCTCGTCTATACACTGTGATTCATTGCCTCTGAGGAACAATGGCTCCAGTAGGAATCTGTGGTTGCAGAAACCAAGTTGCTTGCTGCTTTGATTCCCAGGGTTTAGATTTTGCAGTCAGAGCTAGGAGTTTATAAAGACTGTTCACTTCAAAATTAGCAGTGATCTCTTAGGGGAAAGAGGGTTTGTCACTATGTGATTTGAGCCTGTCCCAAATATCTGCAGCCAGATTTAGACACTGAATATGGAGCAGCGAGAGTAGGGGAACCTGAATGAAGAGGGAGAATCGTGGCTAATGCTGCTCAGAGAACCTCGACTAATCATGATGGGCCATTGCTCCTTGTAAAAGGAAGCCTGAAGAACCCACTGAGCTTTCCTTACACTGGGAATACACCATGACATCTGGGACCAACATTCCTTTTGCGGGGCAGCCTTGCGTGTTGTGGCATGCTCAGCAACATCCCTGGCCTTTGCCCTTTGGGTACCAATATCATCCCTGAGTCATGACTATCAGAAATACCCCCAAGATATTTCTAGGTGTCCCCTGGAAACAAATTGCCCCTCGTCAAGAGTCACTGGCTTAGAATTACACAGTAATAAACTGGGATCTGCTAGTTCACTCCTAACCTAAACTCTCCAAATCCAGTGCCTGGAGCAGCCATAGGAATGCCAAGGGGTCTGTCTTATCCACGGCACTAATGAGAAAGGTCTACACACCCGTACTTCTTCATTATTTACTCGGTTATGCTCAGCTAAAAAGCCTGTGTACCAGATCAAAACCATCGTTATTTGAGGCACAGATGATGCTGTGGGAAGGTTGTGCAGAAGACATGGTTTTTTTTTTTTTTTGAAAGGGATAAAGGAAACAGGAAAGAATACGTGTGACCTTAGCGATAAGGAACAGGACAACTGGGCATGGTTGGAGGATATCCGTGATCCCAGGATTTGGGAGGCTGAGGCAGGAGTGTGGCAAACTTGAAGCCAGCCTGCTCTTTATAGTGAGACTGTCTCAGAAACAAAGCAAAACAAAACAAAATGGTCTGGAATGCGAAGCTGCAGCTGAGCCTAACTAAACTGAGCAACACGACAGTACCTGGCAGTGGCGGAAGGGAGCCAAGTCTGAGCTGCTGTTGACTGCCCCTAAAGACCACTCCATGGGTTGTGTGCCTACATCTACCTCCCCCTACTTCTTCCCGGACGGGCCAGGGTTAACTGCTGCGTCCACATTTCTCTCTGCAAGTTCAGTGCATGATTTAAGAATTCAGCCTACAACCAGGCAGTGGTGGCGCACGCCTTTAATCCCAGCACTCGGGAGGCAGAGGCAGGAGGATCTCTGTGAGTCTGAGGCCAGCCTGGTCTACAGAGCTAGTTCCAGGACAGGCTCCAACACTACAGAAAAATCCAGTCTCCAAGAAACAAAAGCAAAAACAAAAGAAAGAAAAAAGATTTCAGCATACAGCTTTCTACAGGTCATGAAGTTCTGAAATGAATCTTTCAGTCTGACTACTTTATGCACACATATGCACAACTCATACCATCTTTTCAGCTATCTTAGACCCCATTACTTTCTTTATTGTTTGGTTTGGTTTGGTTTTGGTTTTTGTTTTTTTTTTTTTTTTTGGAGACAATGTTTCTCCAAGTAACCTTTGCGTAGACCAGGCTGGTCTCGAACTCACAGAGATCTGTCTATCTGTGCCTCCTGAGTGCTGAGGTTAAACACATGTGCCACCATTGCCCAGCACATATTTTGATTTTAAGTAGAACTGCCAGTTAGTTTAGACATGACACTTTTTATTTTTTCTAGTGCTCTAGGAAACCACATCTACCCACATGTTCTTCTGTGGTTTGTCTTTTGTTGTTGATGATGCTTTGTAAGAAGATTCCATAGATTGGCGATCCATTTATCTTTACTAGTGATAGGCTTTGAAAGCATCGTTTGTTTAAGGTTTATGTTCTATTTTTCCTTTTATCATTCTAAATCAAGAGAGTGCACATTATAGTCTAGTTCAAAACTAGTCCTTGTTTGTGTTGTTTGTGCTATTGTATGTATTCTAATTTTTAGTACATTGCAGGGCAATATTTCATTTTATTTCTTTCAGCTGGAGACCCACGTGTGCCTGTATTACTTACATGACCCCTATAGGATTACATTATCACTTCTGTTGCATATTAAATTACTTATTTCTTATTTTTCCAGGACTCTAATGTCACCTAGGCTTTTGTTGCCAGAGACAGAATGTGGTAGTTCATTACTTAATGGATTCTCCTCTTCTCTCTTCTTGGGGAAGCACGGCTTGACAGTAATTCACCTTGCAGCCTGGTCTGGAAGCTTCGAGATCATGCTCATGCTAGTTAAAGCTGGAGCAGACCAGAAAGCCAAGAGCCAGGTAGGTGTGCCGGTCCCTCGGGGAGGGGGGTGGTGTGAGCGCTCACCTCACCAGTGCTGGGGCAGGAGTTCTGGGGTTCTGAGGTAAGCCCTTACTTCTTCACCCTGGCTCTCTTCAGGAAGGAATGAACGCTCTCCACTTCGCAGCTCAGAACAATAACTTGCACATCGTGGATTACCTCATTCAAGACTTGCACCTGCAGGACCTGAACCAACCCAATGAGGTGTGCCCGCACACTCCCTCAAAGTTCTGCTTCTTCCTGCTTGGGTGGGGCTGCGAGAGCAGGCTTGGCCCTGTAGCCAGTTCCTCGCCTCTCTCTGGCTGACCACAGAGCAGAAGGGAAGTGTTGCTGGTGGCAGTGGCCCAGGCTTCTGCCTGTGGGGAGGACAGGAAGAGCAGAGAAAGCCAGACTCCACCACTCCCTCTTCCCAGCTGGGGGCTGGACACTATCCGCCTCCATTAGTATTCAAAATGTGTGCTATTAGTATTCAAAATGTGTGCTTGAGCTTTGTTTTACAGTGCCTGACCTTCTTTGGATATATTTGACCCAAATTTATGCAGAAATCAGTCACGGGCTGTAACGCTCTTACTGTATTTGCCATGGTGCCTTGAGATTAAGAAGACCGATTTTACCTCATGACTGTGTCTTAATGTGCTAGGCACAGAGGAAAGCAACTTATGTGCGGTTTTTTTCAGGGACAGACCTAAGGCCCAGAACACAGCAGACTCCTGACTCATTTTGTGGAGACAGTGGTGTGTAAGAAAAAGAGGCAGGCTGATGGAGTCAGGGACAGAAGCAGGCTTAATAAGAGCCACCTCTTCCTCTTACTTATTTTTTCGAGATAGGAGCTTTCTTTCTTTTCTTTTTTTTTTTTTTTTTAGGAGCTTTCTCTATAGCCCAGCCTGCCCCTGAACCTGTGATCCTCCTGCCTCAGCCTCCAGAGCGCTGGAATCAGCACGCACCACCACACCCAGCTCTCCCTACTTCCGGGATTCTCGCTTTTCCAGTCTGTTGACCTGGGCTGTACTTCCTCCTCCTCCTCTGGCAATGAGCTGAGGTAAAGGCTGAGGAGCTCAGTGCTGGGTAGAGCTACGCAGCCACTGAGAGGCCTTAGGATAACGCAGGTTCAGAGACTACAAGAGAATGAGCCCAGGGGCTTCACTGGGGGGTGTGGCGAGAGCCTCTCTCAATGTTGATTTTTATCTCTATAATGAACCTGGATTAATGGAACAGACAAAAAGATACACTCTTTTTCTAAGATAGTTGAAAGGAATGTCTTAGAAGTCCAGTAGGAATAGAGCTTGTTAAGGGCGGGGGCGGAGTAGGGTCGGGACAGGCAATTGTTGTTCACTGGGTAAAGAATTTCAATTCTGGAAGACGGAAAGGGCTATGAAGATGCACGGTGGTGATGCTTACATAATGATATCAGTGTACCTGGTTCAGAGCTGGTGAGAGGGCTATGAAGATGCACGGTGGTGATGCTTACATAATGATATCAGTGTACCTGGGTCAGAGCTGGTGAGAGCACAGTGTGGAAAGAGGCACTGGCCACCACGCCTGGTAACAAGCCTGATAATCGGATTTTTGGAGCCCACTTGGTGGAAGTAGAGAACCATCTCCGACAAGTCCTCTGATCTCCGTGCCTCGTATACTCCCTTCCCACCCCCCCCAAACGATAGACAACCAGACCTAGGCATTGAACTATGCATTTAATAATGATTAGGGTGGTAAACTTTGTTATGACTATTTTACCATAGCTTTTAAAAGAAGTGGTACAAAGAAGCCAGTTTGGAGCTAGGATCAGGAACTGGTGGCTATTGACTCACCGTTTGTATAAAGGTTGGGGATTTCACAAAACCCATTGTGCAAGAAGGATGACTCTATCTCACTGTGTCACCCTCTTGCCCAGACTCTTCTCATCAGAAAGAGCTGTTCATCTAACAGGGTTAGTGAAATCCTTCTCATTGGCTCAAAGGGAATTCTAGGCTCTGGCAAGAGAAACTTTTCTCAGAAGAGATCTTTAAGACAAAACGAATTTAACCAGGCCTAAGAGAATTTGGACGGAGTTCAGGACGTGCCGACATTGGGAAATCCGGACAGTCCCCTAGTCACACAGCCGTATAAATCACTGTAGGGTACGTAGGAGAGAGATTAAAGCCAGGAGTTTGAGGCTAAGTAGTCTAAATGTTTTGAATCTGTATGTCAACCTCTATCTGTGACCAAAACTAAAGAAGCGACACTGGGGTGGGGGGAGTAGAAGGGAAGCTACAAAGACCATTTGAATATTGGTTGAAAACATACACATGTTTGGCTAGGTGTCTGTCAGCTGTGTGTGTTGAGAACATCTACTGGCCTAACAGAATCGGAGCTGGAAAGCCTCGTAGGTCAAATGTAGCATCTTTGAGGGGAGGGGTAGTAGTCAAGAGTGTAAGGGGAATTGAGAAGACATCTGTTTTCTCATTCAGGCATCCCTCAGTATCCACAAGGGATTGGTTCCAGAACTCCTCTTGGATGCTAAAACAGTCAAAAATTCAAGTCCGTATATAAAATTGTTTAGTACTTATGTAACCTACACAGAGCCCCCTGAGCCTTCTAAGGCATCTCTAGATTGCTGTTAATATCTGTTTCAGTGATAATGCTGTGTGGTCTATTAAAGCCTGCTGCGGGGCGAATGACAAAGAAAATGCTACATGTTCGGTAGAAGAAGGCTTTGTTCCCCCCTGGATATTTTGGATTTTGAGTAGTTTTATATACGCATGGATGCATGGACCGAATGTATCTGAGATGGCGTTTAGCCAAAGCCATCACTGTACTGTGAAAAGAGAATGCAGCCTGGGTCTAACCCCACCTCCCTGCCTGTGTGCCGCATCTCCAGCTCTGAGCACACATGACCTTCCTGCGTTCTTTCCTGGACTGTTTCGTTACTCTGTTTTCTCCTTATGTTGTGTTCTGCTTCCCATAAAGGGAAATGTTGTTGGGTGTGGATGGATACACACAAAAAAACCAAGGAGCTGTGTCTCAAGGATCCCTATGATAAAGAATGGATCAGGTGGTGGGACTTTGGGTACCTGCTTATTGAAACATAAAATAATTTATTATGGAACATTTTGATGCGTCAAACTTGTTTACAAGCAAAAAAATTTAAAGGTATGACGTTAAAACATAGATGGTTAAAAAATATAACAAAGGAAAAACAGAAAGGAACAAGAACCTTGGATACTGTTTATTCTTGTTAAATAAATGCTTGGGATCCTGGGCCAGGAGGCAAGGGGATCTGCTCCGGGCGTGAAGCTGGGGCTCAGACCCTCTTCTTGGATCTGGCTGGGAAGTTTTCCTGCCTTCCAAATATAGGGAATCCCTTGAGACTGCACTGGCTAGAAGCCCACTAGAACATAATTCAGATGGGTTGTGTTGTTTAAAGAAAGAAAGAAAGAAAGAAAGAAAGAAAGAAAGAAAGAAAGAAAGAAAGAAAGGAAGGAAGGAAGGAAGGAAGGAAGGAAGGAAGGAAGGAAGGAAGGAACAACGTGGTATGAAACTCTATTTTCAAAAACACGTATGGCTTTGAAATTTCTATTGATATTTTTGCCCTATGTACCTAGACGAGAAAAAAGACTTCTATCCTATTACTTACATCTTCCTATTGCTTCATCTTTGAAGTATTTAAAAGAGCAAGATTATGTTAAACACTCTACTCTGCCCAACTTGGCTTTTCCATTTATCTTTCTTGGTAACATCTATAAAGGGCGTCCAAAGTTCACAGACTTAGCTCTTCTTTTGCAAAGCAAGATGCTTCATCTGTGATAACTCAGTCTTTCTTAAGCTCTCTTTTGTGTGGGTCCTCTGTCACTTGGTGTAGCGATACAAAAATGTAAAGCTTCGCAGCAACTCAGGGTACAAAGGGACAGGCTAATTTAAACCAGAACAGACCTCTAATCCTTTGAGAGAAATATTCTCCCTTGTCATGGCTTACAAGTGATTAGTTGCTTCAAACTCTTACAAGGAGTTTAACCCCCAGAGTCTTATGGTAAGGACATTAAGCCAACCCTGGTCCTGGGAGGTGGGACCTCTGGGAAAGGGTCAGGATTAGAAGCGATCACCAGGATGGAAACTTGTGATTGAAACCTGATGACTTTATAATGAGAGGAAGAGACACACTCCCTCTCTCTCTTGCTTTGTGACCCTTGCAACTTTCCAGCCAGCAAGAAGGCCTTTCCCAGATACGGGCCTAAACCTCACCCTCCTAGAGCCATGAGCCAAACAAACTTCTTTTTTTTTTAAGTTTTTTTTTTTTATTTATTTATTTTGTTTACAGTGTTCTGTCTGCATGTATGCCCGCAGGCCAGAAGAGGGCACCAGATCTCATTACAGATGGTGTGAGCCACCATGTGGTTGCTGGGAATTGAACTCAGGACCTCTGGAAGACAGCCAGTGCTCTTACCCTCTGAGCCATCTCTCCAGCCCCCCCAAACAAACTTCTTTAACTTTATAAAGTAGCCTGCCTTTGGTATTGTAGTAATGAAAAAAACCCAGATTTATACATATATTTCATATAATATATACATATATTAGAATTATAGACCCCAAACTGTTAAATATATATTAGAATTCTTTCTGTTATAAGTAACAAAACCATCTTAATCTGTGCTGAAAAACAAAGATGATTTGCTGACTTATAAATGAGGTCTTTGAGGGAGTATCTTGCTGATTTCAGACATGGTGGGTCCAGCATTTTTTTTTCTTTCTGTAACCATTGACTGTCACTTCACTGGTGCGCGTCCTCCCTACGCATGGTGGGAGGAGGTCTGTTCACAGTTTCCGGTTTATAGTCATACGAATTTTGATCCAACGACAAGAGATTTTTCCTGTCAAAGTTCATATATGAGTGTCACAAGCAATTCTGTTTGGTTCTGATTGAGCCACGTGCTCAATTCTGAGCCAATCACCTTGACCATATAACATGAGTTATCTGATCACTTCCCACGGCAGGAGAAAGTCAGGTGAAGCCTAGCGTGTGGCAGTGCCGCATGCAATAAATGGTGTAATATAGAAAGGCAGGACCAGTGGCAAGCTGTGATTCCTGTATCTAAGTGGACCAGTGCCAAATGTGACCCATGATAACGTTATGGGCCAGGAACCTAAGAAGATCCCCTAATGGGCATTGAGGCCAATTGCATAGTTGTAAGATATTGGATCCGTTGCTTTAAAGAAACCCCTGGGCCTGG